GGAAAACCCCCCCCCCCCCCCCCGCCCAGTTTTAGGTTTTTCTACCTGTGTGTAGTGGAGCTAGGCAACCAATGAGTGGATGTTGGGCATCTTGCTCCCTGCCCAGAGATGTGAAAACGCTTTGAGGATGTGCACCTATTACGTTCTGTTTAGTGTTCGATTTTTTTGCTGCAAACAAGTTGACCGTACTCATCCCAGTTTTGCCTAGCTGGGAGAACTAACTACTGAGGAAGCGGAGAGCAGTGATGTTCTGCTCTTTGTCAGGGCCGACCAGGTTAGGGGAACTTTGGGGGAATGGGTGAACTTCGTAATTTCTTGGGCTGCTGTTTTTGCTGCGCCTGCTGCTGGAAACCCACGGCAAGTAATGGATTGCCTTGTCTTTTATTGCCTCACTGCTGCTTTAACAGACCCCGCTGGGGTCGTCTCCTCGCCTGCTGCTTTGTGCTGAACTCAAAATCTGTGCTGCTTTCAGGAGCTTCTCACAACAATGCGAAAGAGCAGCTCTCCATCGCTGGAGAGCTGTGTTGGTTGTAGATGAGTACGTGTGATCCTCTTAGCCCAGAAAGCAAGTTGATTCTACTGAAAATATTGTCTTGTGTATCCCAGAAAGCGAGGATCATAGCTAAGCTTAGAGGACAGCTGGCTCCTGAGACGGTCTTAGTTTATGCCAAGACCTGGCCTGTTGTTCTTACCACCTTTTCTTCAATTTTGCAGATGCAAACGAGACTCATGAGACTGAGTCGCCATCTCAGGTCAAGGATGGCAAGGTAAGAGCTGAGAGCTCAGACAAATTCCAGTAGTGTTCGTAGTGAGTATGACTTCTAACCTGTTGGCTGAGTGTCTCTTACAACTCAAGAAATGTTTGGGGTTTGGTGGTGACTGTGCGTTTAAGAGATTTTCTTAGGCTTGTTTTCCTTCTGTGAGGCGTAAAGGTGGCTGCCAGGGTGGGGTTCCTTGGGTAGAACCTAGGCTGCTGCTTGCAGCTTCTAGCGTGGCATCTTTGTTTTTTTAAATTCCACTTTCTCCCTGCACGTGGGAAGGTTTTCCAGAGTTCCTGCAGCAATGCTTTGACAGGGGTTCGAATCGTTTTCAAGGGCCCAAGGCGTCGCACAAGGGAACTTCAGCCTCTGTTGTCTCAGTTGCTGCTTAATCCTCTTTGCTTGTTTGACCCTTGTCACCTTTGATGTGACCTGTGTGTAATTTGTGTTTCTGCACCGGTCTCTTTCAGCCCCTCTCGGAACGGTTTGAGACTTTCTGCCTGGATCCTTCTCTTGTCAGCAAGCAAGTCAGCCTCGTGCACTTCCCGCCGGGCTTCCAGCCCATCCCATGCAAACCCTTGTTCTTTGACCTGGCCCTTAATCATGTTGCTTTCCCACCTCTGGAGGACAAGGTGGAGCAGAAGGCCAAGAGTGGCCTCACCGGATATATAAAGGGCATATTTGGATTCAAAAGTTAACCAGGACCCCCTGAGGAACAGAGGTTTTATTCTGTATTGAAGGAAAAGCTCCAAGAGGTTCTAGGACACAAATATCTGCACCCGCAACCGACAGAGGGAGGCTTTACCATCTTCTTCCCTGTGTTCTGTGTAAATGTCTGTGCACTTACGTTCTCTCCCCGTGTATTAAAGGCAAACAGTCTATTCAGAAACATGCATACACTATAAATAGCTGAAAAGGATCTGGAGCACAGAGAAATTCCATTCTGCTTGGAGAAGCTGGAGCTTGCTTTGCGACCAGCGGGCTGTTCAGGGCCCGTACGTGTCTCCCTACCGTGGCCCAGGGCACAGGCATGACTTGGTTCCTCCCCCCCATTATTTGACACTATGGTTTGGTATTTTGGTCTAGAAATCTGGGTGCGATGGGGAAACAGGCAAAAGCAGATGCAGAACTGAACCAGCAAGTGAGGCTGCCTACACGAAGGCTATGACACAGTAGCCAAGGGGGCTAACGTCTCCTCCCTTTCGACTCGCAGGCCTCACCGAGAAGCATATGTAGTTATGTACAGAGAAGTCTCTGTATTTTTTTAAAAATGTGACATTCAGAAATGACAAAATAGAGCCTCTTTCTTAATGGTTACCCCAGTTGTGGGGGCGTATAACCCGAGTTTGTACTCTGGGCCGAAAGGATCCTTTATTGAGACGCGTTTTGTTAAAGACCTAAGTGCAGCGTAGAACCTGTTCCTCCGAGGCTTTTCCTGGGCAACTGGCTTCGTGGGTGGCTTTAGAAATAGCTACTTGCTCTTCGTGGGAAGTTGGGTCTGTCGGTGTCCGTTGTGTCTCTGATCTGAAGCTCGCCTGAAAACAAGATGACCTTTTTCTGGAGCTGATCTGTTGCTTTTCCCCTCGTCCTCGGTCGTCGATAGACCTGACGCGAGGGGTAAGCAACAGGAGACCGGTAGGTTGTGGAGCGACAGATCCGCTCTGTCACGCCAGAGAGCTTTTTTTTATGAAGCGCCCAGGTGCTATGGTGATAGGCACTTCCAAAATGCGGGTAATTTCATAATCGTGATCATTTAAACGGGGGAAAAAAAAAACACAGCACGTGGGCAGAACTGTTCCTAAATAAAGTATTTGGAAGTTTCCACCAGCGCCGTTTGGGTTTTCCCTCGGTCCGTGGCTGGGCGCTGAAGCGGCGGCCTGTCCGAGCTGCCTCGGCTCTCCTGCACCCGCTGGCTCGACTTGGCGTCGTTTCTGCATTTTTAGGCATTGCCGTTAATGGGGGTGGAAAGAGAAGAGCTGTTTAAAAGGATCGGATCGTTGTCGTGGGAATTTTCCGTGCAAGGTGCGTGTCAGATGAATGGGGGGAATTAACGGTTCCCATCATTTTAATACGAACGTTTGCTTCTTTGTTCCAAGTTGATTTGGTTTGTGAGATCTCAAAGTACAAAGCAGCTTTCAAGAGGACTCTGTGCTCAGAAAGAGGTAAGAGGAGGAACTTCGTGTTTGTGTTTAATTCCTGCGACATGGAAACAAAATGGGAATTTCTGGTATTGCAGCCAATTCCATTTGCCTCTGGATGCCGGGGGGGGTTTGCAAGGGAAAGCGTAGAGCTGGCAGAAGCGCGGCAGAGTAGTCATCGGGTGGCAGTTTCTAGAAAACACGGTCTCGAATGGCAGATTTCTCTTCCCCGTGAAGCCTGCTTCCGTTGAGACAAGGAGGGGTCGTGCGAGAACCGGCGCAGGCGCCCGCTGGGTGATCGCCTCGCGGTGCCTTTCGGTGTACCTCAGTCCGAGCTGCTCTCTCCTTTTCGGCTTTTGTATCAAATCACTTGGAGAACCGTTCCCCTCCTTGCTTTGCAAACCAAACTCCTTTCCGCTCTCCTACCACAAATCCGTGCGGCGCCTGGATTGACGCCGGTGAAACTCGTACCGCGGCCGCTTTCGCATCGGTCGCCGGTACAGAACGCTGAGAGCAATTGGCCTCTTTACGGCAAACGGCTTTTGACAGAGAGCTGTTTGGTTGAACGCAGATAAGAAATCTGAAAACAATAAAGTTTTATTCCTGACCTCTGAGGCGTGTTATGTTGAGCGTTGGGAACACCAAGCGCTCTTGGCCTCCCAAGCGTTCGGAGGATGAAGGTCGCAGCAGCACCTGGGGCCGCTCCGCCCCGGGGAGCGGAGGGCCTGCTGCCTGAGGGCCGGGCCAGCGCGCGCCGCTCTCGGGGGTGGCTTGGCTTGTTTGTTTTGATGTGGTGCTAATGGAAAGTGGGTAGAGGGGGGTTTGTAACCAGTGTCGTGGCTTAAGCGATGTGGAAGGCACTGAAGAGGCACTAGGAAAAAAACTAAAAATGGAAAAAAAGGTGGGGGAAAAAGAGAAAAGTACTCTTGTTCTGTCTGATGAAAACCAGACTCACAACGTTTATCGAGGCTTTTAGCCCTGCGGCGGAGCTTGGAACGGCAAAGCTGAGGCTTGGGCAGCAGCGGTGGCGAGGGAACAGCGCGGGCGAGCGAAGCGCCCGGTGTGGCACGCACCAAACCGATGCCCGGCACCAGCCCCGGCGAGGTGCGGAGCCCTGGCGCGGTGCTCGGGCGCTGCCTTGCTGCTCTGTTTTCGTCAGGCCGCACTGGTCGCGTTAAAGCGTTTGCCCTCTTTCCGTGGATTGGCAAGCCGGCCGGGCGACGGCCCGCAAGCGGAGCTCCAGCAGAACGGGCAGGGGGATGGCTGTCAGGCGCGTGTCCTGCGGAGCGCCTGTGGGCCGAGCTCCGGCGGCGTAACGCAGGCTGAGCTGGCCGTGCCCGCTGCCATTGCGTGGGTTACAACGGGAGCGAGAGGCCCATCGCGGCCCTCGGCCCCGCCGTCAGCGAGGCCCCGGTGTCTGGGGCGATGTCCGCTGGGTCACGCGCTCCGAGGGGCCTCGTGACAACGTCTTGAGGGACAAATGGGACACGGGAGAAGTGATCAGCATGAGGCGAACCGGGCGGTTCACAGAGAAATGAGAGGTGATGCCTGGGGTAGCAATAGCCTGGCCTGGGAGCTCCTCAGTAACAGCCTCTGCCTCTAAAGCAAGGAATGGGGGGCGTTTTAAACGGAAGGTGGTCTGTTCCTGGGGAGAATCATCGCTGCCTAATCCGAGCCGCTCCAGCGGGACGGCGTCCCGGGGGGCACGGGCAGGGAGGTCCCGGCGGCCTCAGAGCCGTTGCAGGTTGGGTGGGCAGCCCGTGTTGCGCGCCTGGCGGCGAGGGGCGGCGGGCCCCGGCGGTGGGGGGGGGGAATCCTTGTCCAGCCACGGTGGCAGCGGGGAGGGCCAGGCGCTTGG